AGCAGGAAATGCGTATGTAGTAGAGAAGCCATAACCTGGCAGCTGAATAACAAAATTGTCACAAGACAGAACAGCTCAGAACTGGAACGTGGTTTCTAATCAGAGCAATAAACGAGCAACAGGGATAGTGTAACTTGGGGATTTTATTCTGCAGTCCCCTGCTAGAGGAAAGGGCTTGAACTGGTGACTCAGCGTGTCCCTGTGCCCCAGGAAGTGGCTATGACATAGGTACCAAAACAGCCAAACCTACCGGGTCAAGTACAGGGGAAATAAGCAGCCCAGGACCCCACAGGAACTGCCTATCGACACTCCACGTCACTTCGTCAGAGTAGAACCTGGGCACATGGGAAGGATAGAGCAGTAAGTGGTTTATTATGAACTACACCATTGTCAGCCATCCCAGTATTTCAGGGTACTGATTGTCTAAAATCAGGACTGAAGGCTGTCATATCGAAATTACCTTGGGGATTTTTTTCCTAATCTGAGGCAATCTGAAGATGAGAAGGTAAGGTCTTACTAGTTTAGTTAGTATTTTCTACACAAGTGTGAAAGTGTAGGTGTGCGTCTGTTCTTGACGCAGCTTATTCAAGGGTTTCCAGGCAAGGAAACATGTATTCTAATACATATATGTGAAGGTGGAGAATAATTTGATTAGCTGACAATAACATCTCATAGTAGCTTGTAAGAGTGACTGACAATAATATATACATATATGCAGAATTTACAGATGGTTTCTGATTACTCTTCTGATTACTCCAAAATGGTGTTTCATGAATTGAGAAGTTGTCTATAGAAATTCCATTGTGCATTTTCACAGACCACGGGTGCTTAGGAAGTCCCTAACATTTAATGCGTCTGATTTTTTTATTCCTCATAAAACTGTCACAAAGGTTGATGAGTAAACTTACTCATGCAAAACTGGACGTACAACTGTGTCTCCTTGAGTATGAGCTTTATAAAAGAGTGTATACAGGTAGGGCAGCAAAGTGTAGCGAATGTTCAAGTAATACTTGGAGGTTTTCACCAAGACTGAATCAGGTCCAAACACAGCTGGATCCTGAGGCTGAAAACAAATATCAGATTATTATCATTGTCATCATGCAGAAAACACTCTGCCAAACATGTGAAAAGTGGCTGCTGTTTCAGAGAGGCAGAAATTCAGAGGTGCACACCTGCACGTTTGCCTTCTGGGTGTATGCCCTGAGGTCCTGATCCTCCAGGCTCCCAGTGTTTTGCACTGCATGGCCCTCCTTGCCCATCTGCAAGGAGGGTGCACCAGGGTTAGCCCCGGTTTCGTCCTGGGGTGCAGTCAGGTGCATGCTAAAGGACTCCCAAGAGTCTGTCTGATGGGTCACACAGCAGTGAGTGCCCTTGGTAGTAGGCACAACCAAAGGTGATAAAGCTGTTGCCAAATAAGCGTAGCCTCAAATATATTCAATTAACCCTTACGTAGCTGAACCTTTTGGATCTAGGATTTCATAAAGGGAGCTTAAGATGCTGCCATTTTCAAACTGCTCAGCTACATGATCATCAGTGAAAGTAACGATTACTAGTGATACTATTCAAGGAAATGTGGTAGTGTAACACAAAGCATTTTGTAAGAGAAAGCACAACTTACTATGAATCCTTCACAATTGTGATTCCTAGAAAATGGGTAAAATGCTCCTACTTGCATCCATCGTCTGCAAAGTTCTTCTGTGGTGTTGTCAAAGAAACCACAAATATCTGCTCCAATCTTTAAATAAAAAAGAACATGTTGGATGTGCAGAACATTGCACCTTTAATCTCTACACAAAAATTCTAGTTTTCAGAGATGCATTAATTCAACCTTCGTTGCTAGCCAGAAGGACCAAGCCATTCAACAAAATTGTACCTTTCTTCTTTCAAATAACTGTGTTGTACAAAAAATTAAACTGATTACTAGCTAGCACTACTCATCGTTCTATTTCCTCCAAACCTTTACCTTCCTGTTTGATGCTAGCATGCATACATTAAGAACAAAGCCCAAAAGTCATACGAATTTAAATGGAATTCATGGAACAGAATTTGGCTATTTCCCTTATAAATGGATATCTCAATTTCATTTGAAATTATAAGGAAAACACCAAAGTGTTTCACATCATTCACTAGTGTTTAAAAATTACTAGAAGTAACAGGTAGCTTGGGATATATAAGATAATATGTTTGTTAACCACATTTATCTCACCATGCACACACAGCCACAGCAATCAAAATAAGTGGCGTAAACCAAAAATGAATAATTGGAAAAAATGTTAAAACCAGATTCCTAAAGGGGATCAACTCGGAGCTGAAAATGTAAGATGGTTATCTAGATAACTTTTGATTAGATAATACATTATCACAGAGGTAGATTTACTGTTTATCCATATATTTTGAAAGGATGTCACAAACTAATGTCACACATAAGGAATTCCAAAGAGGTTGAAATCCAGCATTCCAGGTATTGCCCATTTCAAGTGATCCCATGTCGCTGCATTATCTCCCAGCCAGTGTCCTGTGTAGTTTCCGGATCCAACAAAAGTAGACCTTGAAATAAGGAAGCTTCGTTTTCCAGGAAACAGTGCTTTGATAACTCTTAAAAGGAAATGAGACTGGAATTATGGAAAGAAAAAAAAGACGACCCAGACATCAATAGCTTTATATAAGGCACATTTACACTGTCTGATTTACAATAATTATTTATCCTAGGGATGTGGACTCCTTTACAGTTAACCAGGTGTCTTCTAGCAAAGTTCAAGACATTAATTTTAAATAATCTTTCTACACAGTTTTGACAACCAATGTGTGTTTTTTACTACCAATTTTAGTTAATGGATTTTGCCATAGATGCATTGGCTTAAATATAATACAGTATTTTCCAGGAACTGGGTTCCTTTACAAGTGAAATTTCTTGCTGTTTTGGAAAATGCAGGCCATGTATCCTTCTGAAACCTTTTTGTAAAGATTTTTAGGACGCATTCCTTACTTCTGTGTTGATATGGCCATGGAATATCCATAAAGACTGTGGACATCATAATGTTTCCCCCACTTCTGCACTGCATCCATACAAAGCGTCTTGGAAAACATGAGCTTATCAAGAATACCTTCAACAAAGGAATACAAATATTACTTTTGAAGTACATTTTGATTATGAATACTTCCAATTTTCTCTTTAATGCACATTCATGACATTCAAGCCCTTTTTTCTCCATAATGTTTGCACTAAGGCCAGTATTACTACTACAAAAACAAACAGTATTGCTACTACAAAAACAAAATGCTACTTTTCGCTGCTGGTTTGATTCATCTCTGCTCTGTGACCTATTCAGCTCTTGAGCTTTGTGCCCATGCAAGGAATAACTGCACAGCTGCGCTCTAAATTTCTGAATCATTATCTGACAACACGTTGGCAATGGTTACTTAAATGTACTACTTAATACAAACAATGAACTCCATTTCAGTTCTGCATACATCTTGAAAACTACCAATAGTGAAAGAAGATCATTATATTATCAGACATAATTAAGGCAATGACAATATTCAGTAGTAATTTGAAAAGGGAAAAAAGCCGGTTATATTATACCTTTGACTAGGGCCAAAGTATACTGGTATTTTCTGTCAAGGGTAATGTTCAAACCCCACCCATAAAAACTACACTAAAATAAATTTTGCATCCTTGTAGCCAATTGCACAGTAATTCATCAAAACTTTTTGATATTTTGCTTTCTGGTTAAAGTACATGAACTTACTGGGAGTGAAAGGAGGATAGTTTAAGTCATTCTGCGCACAACCATTTTTTGAGCCCTTAATGAAGTTGGAGACTTCATTCATATCCTGAAAAGATAAGATGCAGATTGTAATAAAGTTTCCTCAAGTACGTTTTCCTAACAAAGTCTTACATTCTATTCCATTATTCTTTAAGGAAAAATTACATAGAACTAGTACTATGCAATTAGGCAAGAATGATATAACTCAGATACTTACCTGGTCAATTCTTGTATCAATACAGGTCTCAGTGTTGGACAGACTTCTATATACAGATGAGCGTCATGTCTCATGAACTACATCTTATCCCTCCACAGAAAAAAACTGCAAGAGGTGCTCGTGTGTACATTGTCCCTACCTATGACCAACTCCACACATCTCTTAAGGAAATGTTTTTGGTATGTGTTTGGAGAGAAATGCAGAACGAACAAATGTATGTTGCTACTTTCTGACAAAATACACAAGGTGACTAAATATTCTTAAACATCACCTTTATAATACTTTCCAAGCCATTATACTTTCAAACCTTGCTGTCTGCTTCCATGAATATTTTATTTGGCAGTGCTGTAGGTGTATTTCTAGGTGCATCCCTGAATGTGCTGCAGGAAAAGCATGCATGGAAGAAGAGAGCAAATTCATCATGGAAGGCACTGTAGGGACCAGTTTGTTTCACCCAAATTATTTGCTCTGTGTAAGAGAGCTGTGCAGTCTTAAACTTCATGGCTTGACTTGATGGAACCACAGAGTCAGCAAAAATAAGTGAGAAATACTCATTCTATCACATAGCAGCTGAAAGACTGTATTTTGCCATAAAGGTTAATTTAAAACTGTTACAGTTTTTTTAAAATGCATGACAAAAGAATAAAGAGAAGGTGGTGCTGAGACAGAGATAGAGAATTTTAACTACAGATTTTGTCCAGACACCCACTATTAGAAGCTTTATTACAGAATATTGCTGTAAAAAACTAATCTGGTCAGTCAAAATGGTTATTATTCTCATCTGATTTCCATGAACTGTGCCTAAAATACATCATGCCAGACTATATTTTAGTCCTTTTGTGAGAGAACCTGTCTCATGAGCCTGATTTTTCCATGGAAATTCCATGGACTACTTGGAGCATAGATACATGGATTATATGTATTTTACCCTGTATTCAGGACCTATTTAGGACACATTCACTGAGCTGGTATGCAGGTCTCCAAATATTGCCATTCTGAGGACAGGAGTGTGCTAGTATTTACCTTTAGCAATGGTTCATCAATTGAAGCATTTTCAAGTGTCACTGAACATCCGAAAAAACAGCACACTGATCAATTAAATGCCATTAATGATTCAAATTAAAATTTAAAATTCAAATCTGAGTTGCAAATTCAACACCAGAAGACATACACATCCTGCACTGATTTGAGGTTAGTAATAGTAAACATCCCTTTCAAATTCAATGTAAATCATATTTGATAAACATCTATCCTTGTCTATTTTTAAAAATAAAAATAAAAATGAAAGTTCTGAATTACTTACAATCCAGATCCCATCATATGGCACTATATTATAAAACAGTTTGCATTCTTCCACCCACCAGATAGTGCAGTCTGGGTTAGTGAAGTCTGGGAACACAGTTTCCCCTGGCCACACCTGCAATATTAAAAGGGAAATAATTAATTAAACTTTTAATTATATTTTTAGAGGTTCATAGAATTATAGAGCAAGGTTGGAAGGGACCCTGAAAGATCATCTGGTCCCACCTTTCACAGGAAAGGGAACCCAGATGAGATCATCCAGCACCCTGTCCAATTGCATCTTGAAAACCTCCAGTGATGGGGACTCTACCATGTCCCTGGGGAGGTTGTTCCAATGATTGATTGTTCTCACTGGAAAAAATGTCCGGTGCAACTTGTACCCATTGTCCCTTGCATTCTCCATGAGGGTCTTTGCAAAGAGAGAGCCTCTGTCCTCTTTGTAGCTGCCCTTTAATTACTGGAATACTGTGATGAAGTCCACCGTGAGTCTTTTTTTTAGGGAGAGAAAACCTTCAGTCTTTCCTAACAGAGCAGGTTCTCCAGCCGTTTTATCATCTTGGACACTTTTCAGTCTGTCCACGTTTTTTTTTTGAATTGTGGGGACCAGAACTGGACACAGTACTCCAGGGGCAGCCTGACAAACGCTGAGTAGAGTGGGATGATCACATCTCTCCCTCTGTTAGTAATGCCCCTGTGGATAAAGCCCAGGGTCCATTTTGCCTTCATTGCTGCAGTAGTAAACCGCTGACTCATGTTCAGCTTGTTGGCCACCAAGACCCCCATAGTTAGCCATCGAAGGCAGTGCTAATATAGTGCTCTGATGAAAGCTTTTGAGTGACAAACTGCTAGGGTGACAATAGCTCACATGCAGAAAGAAGGCAAAAAGAGCATGAGCTTCTTAACTTCAGAGTTTTCAATTGCTTTTATTTAAGTCATACAAGGAACAGTACCCAACAGAAAAATTTCTCAATAGAAGTTAAAATTATAAACTAAAAGGAAAATGTGGGAGCTGGCTCTTGAGTCACTGTTGAAAATAAATAGGAACTGGCTGATGAATTGTTCTTTGAGCCTTCAAACAACTTTAGTTTTCCTTTTTGTTTAATGTAGAAAATTGGGGAAAAAAGTCAAGAAAGGTTGAAAAGTATCATATCCTAAGTGAAACCTTATAAACTTAGTTCTCACTGGCAGGCAATTTTACTGAAAGAAGCAACTTAGAAAATTAGAGTTTAAAAGGAGCCCCCTGACCTAAATTAAACCATAACAGTGACAACAGAACAAGTTCAAATTCATAAAAATGTAATTACCTCCCCAAGTAATGCTGTTACTCCATCTGATTCATTAACCCAGACTTTTTTGCTCTCTCCCCTGACATAACTTCCATACGGGCTACCGTCAGCTAGATTTTGTATGCTAATAGCAGGATCCTAAAAAAAATTTAGAAAACAAAAGATAAGAAGAAATCAGGATATAATCTATCAATTATTATAGGCTACTAGAATGTTAGGCAATAAATGTAATAATGACATAGAATATTATTATATAAAGTATAATAATAAATACTTATAATGAGAGTATTTACAAAGGAAAAAAGAAACAGATACATGCTTACCAATATGATAATATATTTTTGTCCATAGTCATGCATATAAGCTGCAAAATTAGGGAGATCATGAAACTTCACTTTGTCATAAGTAAAATCTTTCTTTTCCTCCATATAGTCAATATCAGTGATCTGAGCATCCTGAAAGATGTAAAGTTTTTGCATATCAGTCCAACACAATTTCTTCTGACAATTCCTGTTTGTCCTGTAGTGAAATTACCGTTGGGACTTCGCTGCAGCCTGAGAGAAAGCATGCTGTCAGGACCATTTGCAAACAATGCGCATCTCATCTCATACTTAAAGCCCTAATTAATAGTACTAACACATCTTTTGTGCCTAAAAAGAGCTGCATTAACATTAACAGAATTTAAATGAATGAGTATATTGGCATGCTTTCTAATTGGCCCCTGGACTTGTGGCTATTTCATTGCATTTGCCTGACTTCAGGAGCTATCCCTTTAAATCCAAACATTTCTTCTTCAACTCTCAGCTTAATATTAGGGTATTTTTATTCTATTTAAACCATCAAGCTAATGTAATCTGAAATCTAATTTTAAAAATTAATTGTACTTTACCTTTGGCTGTCGATTAAGAATAATATATGGTTCCATAATTGTCCACAAAACAATTAAAAAAATAAACTCATGGATTAGGTAACATGAGAAGATAAGTGGATATAGTTGGAAAGTATAACTGAAAAAGTACTACAATAAAGTGCTCAAATACAACTTACTGCAATTAAGCCCCCCATGTCCCACATTCTGATAATGGGTCTACCATTAAAATGCCTAAAGACCTTTGACACCAGAAGCCTGTGTACTAGAAATTTACTAATTTAAACTGCTGTGAAATGAACCAGTTGAGGAACACTGTGGTCAGGATCTTTTGGGTCATTTCTCCTGCAGAGCTCTGCCTCCACAGGGTTGCTGCCCTCCTCAAACCTCATACTTACATAAGGGAGTCCGATCGCCCTGTTCCTCTCCACAACTTTCTTCACCTCATCCAGAGACCCATAATTCCAGCGGCTGAGCTGGAAGCCCAGGCTCCAGTAGGAGGGTAATGCTGGCAGTCCCACAAACTGCAAGTTGAGAGCAAAAATACCATGCACCGTCAGTGGACACTGCATGTGTCACCTCGGTGCCCATTCCCCCAGATCCATACTCCTCAAATCTGTTTGAATCATAAAAACTAAACTTGACTGTGTGACATGAGCAGCCTACTACCAAATGCAATATTTTTCTTTTTTTTTTTTAATTTAAGAAATAGAAATATTTTGGGACAATACCCATACTTTAAGGTGTCATTGAAGTGTAAGCAGAGCACAGGAAGTACAAAGGATATGTGTGATATCTTATGGCCATAAAATCATGACATACCTGTAAGTACATTATCTACTCTATAATGCCATACGAACAAGGATTTATCCTTATAACCAGAGTAAGCCCCAGCAAGGAAGCCTAAGTTATTCCATATAGACCATCTCTAGTTCCAATGACCACTGTGTAAATCAGTCAGGCCATACATACGGATGAATTTAGCAGCTACAGATTTCTTGGGCCTCAAGCTGCTGCATGGCCTCTGCACCTGCATCTCCAGCAAAAGCAGCGCTTAAGTTTCAGCTTCCCATAACAGGCCAGCTAAAAACATCTACACCCCAGCTTAACCCCAGCTAGCTATTACTAGTGACAGCAGTCACATTAGGGACATACCGACAGTTATTCTTAAATACGTACTGAGTCATATTTTCAGTTAATAGATAACATAGAGAAGACACACTGTTACATAAAGAGGTGAAAAAAACCCTCACCAGAACTCAAAAAAATCCCAAGCACTTTTAAAAATCTGTTCAATGCATACTCTCTCTAGCTAAATGTACCTTCAGGTATTCCTGGACTACTTGTTCTGGGTTGTTACCCAAGAAGATATAGAAATCAAGGATCCCACCAGTGGTTCTGTAGGTCACTGCTGGAGCAGGCTGCACCACAAACTCTGCCGGATGAGAGTGCACAAAACCAATTCTGAGTAACAGCTAATTCTAAAATAACTCTGTAATTTTCTAATTGGTGATTAGAAAATTTACTTAAAAAAAAAATCACAAAACAAAAATACCAAAGGAACCCAAAACCGTTACTTGAACTTGCAATGAAGGGGAAATGTATTCAGATGACTCTTTTAAATGTCCAAATTTCCATTCCTTTACATCACACAGAAAAGAGAATCAGAAGAAATACAGTGGCTCAAACTTTTATCTTTAAATTTTTAGTACAACTTTCCAGCCTCAAGAGTTGTGAAGAATTCTGTAAAGCATACGTATGCATTTACTTTCAAGTATAGCTCTCTCCAAGTTTAGGCTCTGATTCCAGTGCCCTGCACATCTGCACAAAGCTGCACAGCCTTCAAATAGGTTTCTGACCCTCAGATTTCCAGCGCGATCTTCATGTTAATTGTGAACTACTTACCGCTTACACTGCATACACTAAACACTATATTTTTGATCCAAATCCCACAGATCATTTAAAAAGATATTTAACTGCAGTGCTCAGAACTACAGAGAAACTTTTCTTACCCATGGCATTGCTGTTCATTAGGAAAACACCAAAAGAGGCTCCAGTGCTGTCTTCCAAACACAGGAAGAAAGTTTGAACTCCGTATAGGTTATGCATTGCCTTAAAGGGTGAAAAAAAAGAAAAAGTAAGCTGATTAAAATCCAATAACATTATCTGTTCTGGGATATTTCAAAATATATCACAGGTAGAACTTGGAACTTCTCAAAATATAGCAAACAACAAAAATTAACATCCTAACACCTTGCCACAGTTCTGTTTTCTCTTTCCTGGCATTATTCTCCTTTATGGGAATATTTTCCGTTAAAATGAACGTTTCCCCAAACATATAGGTAACATAAGCAAACAGATATGATGGATCTTCAGGCAAATCTGCATATATTGCAGTACTATTTCTGGGTAATATATATGCATATCAAGCTAACAATAGAACTTGAAGATTGTTTTCATCACCTTTCACCATAGATTAGACTTTACATCTAATCTGTGTTTCTATTAATTCTTCAAGATAATCGTTTTTATGCCTAATCTATGGAAATAAGAGAGTGCCTTGCTTCTTTTTTATATCCTTTCTAATGTTTTTTTCCATTATTATTAGCAACAAAACTCTTAGAAACTTTAACACTCATTGTAATAGTTGTGCTTCTTCCCCTGCAACAGACAACTCAGAACAAATTAACAAGAAACAGAACTTGAGCAAATTGAAATTAGCCTAACTTGATTCTGTTCACTGTTAGTCTAACTTAATGAGTTATTTATTTTTATTGATAAACTCAATAGAGCCATTCAGGTAAGAACTGTCTTCAAACCAGGGAAGATAGTGAGACGGTGTCACAGGTAAGCGGTACAAATCCGAAGTTATTACTTAATTACATACAATGGTCACTCTCCCTAGTTTCTGTTAGTATAGCTCTTATTTCAGCAAAACACTGAAGTGCGCAAACAAAGAAAAACATATGGGTGGTTCTTTTATGAAACTGAGGTAATAGTTATAATTAACCTTACAATTATCAAAAAATGGGTGCCCTGGAAATCACTTCATAAAGAGACAGCCATCCAGACTAGAGA